TGGTTGCATCAAGAAGAGCATCTGAATATTATTCTCGCTTGTGAATAAGTGATCAGCTGAAAGTAGCTCTTTGATGTCTTACTAGTGTGGAGATATTCTCTGAATCAGAGCTTCACCTTTATCTAAGCTTTCATAAACCTTTCCCGTGATTCAGAGTAATAGCTGGAATAACAGATGTCAGCTCATATCTGTTTTTGATTGTGTTTGGACTAAAAAGTTCTTAACAAAACGTTTTTGTTACAGCCGGGCTCCACCATCCGCACCACCTGTGGCCCCGGCTCCACCATGCCCACCACCTATGCCCCCCCCCTATGCCCGGCTCCGTCGGCTGTCGGCACGCCATCTGGGCAAGGTATGTTTGCCGTCTACATACCTACGTCTACAGCCACTGGGGTGGCAGTAGGGTTGGGGGTAGGCACCACAATCAACCAAACCATGACGGGAGGTTTCGGTGGAGGACACCCAGAGCCTTCTAGGCCTGACGTCACACACCAGGTAAGCCCAGGTTTAGCCAGCCACAGGACTGGAACAGATTAGGGTGTCTGAGACACAGTATGCAGGGCCTCTGAAACATGGAGCAGGTGAAAAACAAACACCACATTTTATGTAACGCATGGATGCAGTTACATGCACTGTGGTAGCTCAATATAATAACAGCCAGATGGAAACAATATGATGAAAATTGAGACTTTTAACTAAAAGCAGTGAAGGAATCATCTTGCTTTCATTAAGACTCTTGAGTGCAGTCAGTGCTGGTCGATTAGAGATGAATTACTCCTTCTGCTCAATCTGGTTTTTTTTTTTCTGTTTACACATGTGATAAGTTTAATTTGAAAATACAGACACAGCTGCTGCTGAAGGAAAACATCAGTTATGAAAAATATTTGGGGCGTTTATACCCAAAACAAAAGTCCAAAGGCCAAACGTGGTTTATTTACATTCACACAAGTGCAGGGAAATATGCATAATGATGTTTGTCTCATTAACCCTGAACCCAGTACATCACTATTATCTTTATGCAGTTACATTCATAGTAGATTTTAAGATATGAGTGATGACCAATCATTTACTCTGCTTTTCTTTATGACAAAAAGGACTTGGAAACCACACGCTCTTTGATCTTTGTCACACACATGATTTAATCCTCTGTCTTGTGTGTATTAGGAGCCGTACCACCACCAGCAGCAGCAGCAGCAGCGGCAGGCCTGCTCATATGAGCTAGGGCAGTTTGTGGCCTGTGCCCTAAATCAAAGCGACCTCAAGCTGTGCGAGGGCTTCAATGAGGCGCTCAAAAAGTGCATGTCTGCTAATGGTGAGTGAAACACGTCCAGGCTTTGTATAAATGGAGACTGCTGTCTTTCTGTCTTATAGTCGTTGCTTTTCATCATTATTAGTAATTTTATATATTTAAAGTGAGTGTAGTTACGAAATGCTATACTTTCTGTTGCATTTGCGGCTAGCTAAACATTTACTACGTATGGGGGGTAGACGCACAAGCTGTTGCACATTTTCAGCATGCTCCTTTCATCCCACATAAAATTCTGTTTAAGTACTGGATCTTCCTGATGCACATCGAGTAGATCAACATCAGGTTGTTGCTTTTTCAGTCTCATTTTTCTCTTTTCAAACTGAGTTTAACCCAGCAAGCATCGAGACTTTGAATGAGCCCTTTGTCGCTCACGTATCAAAGCCAAATGACTTTGCACTATTCTAAACTCCTGTAATACCCAGTGTGGCCATAAGGGGGAGCCTTAACCTAAGTATGTTAAGTCAGTTTAAACGATTTAAAGTATTAACTGTCCTTTTTTATCTCTTTCTACAGGTCTGTCATTAGAAGACAAGAGATAATTTTATGTTAATTACAGGCTGTTT